TTTCCCAATTTCCCAATTTCCCATTTTCCCAATTTCCCAATTTTCCAATTTCCCAATTTTCCAATTTCCTAAATTCTCAATTTCCCAATTCCCCAATTTCTCAATTTCCAAACCAATAACATGAATCAAATATGTAAACAACTCTATTGTATTTTAAACTAGTCAATTAAAAATTCTTGTAGTACACAAATCACACATGAATAATTGCATGCCAGATTCAAAGCTTCAATCGCTTCAACGTTTAATTGGTATTCAAATCTCGACTTCACGGACGAATCCATTAAGTCAGTATAATCGAATCAATTATGTACACTTGTACACTTGTACACTTCGTATACAAGTAACGTTTTATTAAATATTCAAGTAAATGTGTATTGCTGTTGGTTGATTGTTCTTCCTTGAACGTAATGTGCATTAATTATGGTGATGGTAATGGTTAATTGTGGTGCATTAATTATAGCTCAAGAATGGTACAACGGTAAAGTAATATCAAAATCGGATACTACGAATTGGGTGCGTTATTTGAACGAAATTCGTCAACGTTGGATAGTGTGGAATCATGATTCAAGTAAACCGTATAATCTTGAGGAACCGGAAATCGAGGACCAGTCCATGGGTCAAGCGAGTGTTATTCGGAAAATATTTGATGATATGGTAACTGTTCTTTTATATTCTTTGAATTTGTAAATTTGGAGATTCCTAATTTCCAAATTTCGAAACTGCTGAGTCCTTGAATTTCTGAATTCGTAAATTACCGAATCTCCAAATTTCCAAATTCCTAAATTTCCAAATATCTCAATTACCGAATTCCTAAATTTCCAAATCTCTAAATTACCGAATCCCCAAAATTCCCTAATCCCTAAATTTCCAAATCCCTAAATTTCCAAATCTCTAAATTCCCAAACCCCTAAATTACCGAATTCCTAAATTTCCAAATCCCTAAACTTCCCAATCCTTAAATTTCCAAATCTCTAAATTCCCAAATCCCTAAGTTACCAAATCGTTAAACTACCAAATCCCTAAATTTCTAAATCCCTAAACCCCCTAATCCTTAAATTCCCAAATCCCTAAACCTCCTATCCCTTAAATTCCCAAATCCCCAAACCCCATAATCCTTAAATTCCCAAATCCCTAAGCTACCAACCCCCCAAATCTCCAAATCCCATAATTCCTCCACTTCCCAACCGCAATTAAACCAAAAATATGCACAAACAGAGAAACGGCTTCTTCGTCGAATGCGGTGCTTACGACGGCGAGACCCGAAGCAACACTTTAGCCCTGGAACGACTCCTCGGTTGGAAAGGTCTGCTAGTGGAGGCGGACTCCATAAACTTCAGCAAAATGTTGCTGAAGAACCGGAAGGCTTACCTAACACCTACCTGTCTTGCTCTTCAACCATATCCCACGGTGGTACGAAAGTTCGTAGTTACTGTGCAAATTAATTAACGAACGAAATACAATCAATATTTACGTACCTTTACCTTGCAAATTATTTTTAGAATTCATTCCTGATGGCCGATAACGTGGGACGACTTCATGAACCAAATGCCACGGACAGCAATTTACCTAATTCACCGGATGTTGCGCACAGTGGGGATCATATTTTGGTCCAGTGTTTTCCGTTCCATCATCTAATGGCGGCCCTCAATGTGACTGTTGTTAATTATTTCAGTCTCGACATAGAGGGCCACGAACTCGAAGTATTGAAGACGATTCCTTTCGACGAGATAAGCATCGAGGTAAATTAATTTTGATCGCTACTGGAAAATGCAGTTTCATTACAATGGTTGCACGTTTTCAGACGTTATCGGTGGAGTTCGCGCATCTCGAAGTCGGTAAAACGGAGCTGATCGATTTTATGAGTTCGAAGGGTTATTACGTTTATTCGTTCGTTGTTAGAACGGACCATTTGGCGCACGATATAATATTCGTGAAAAAAGATATGGGCAAGTTTCGTTTTCAGGAGAGAGTGATTATTGATGCTGGTCACTAGAAGTGGACTCATTCCAGAGCGCACTATGAATTGAAATTTTCAGTCGTTGATTTGCTCGAAGATAAGCAAAACCAAATGGCTTATTTATGAAAAGACAGATGTAAAGTTTGGAAATGAGAAAATTTTCCTAACATGAATCTGCACGAGCTTACCTACTGTGGGTAAATACTCGTATAGAGTTTACTTACCTTGTTCCTGCCTCCAGGTTGTTTTCCTTAAAAACTTTTAAATAATGCAGTTGTTAGGTTAAGCTTTAGGTTGTTCAATAGAATGTATTAGTACTGTATACGTCAATGGTACAAGTTCTTGTTAATATTATTGAAATTTATTTTACAAAATATTTACAGGAACATATATGTTGTTATAATAAAATAAAGTATCTCTTTTTATAGATATCTCGTAAAACTCAGCACCACTGTAATCCGTGAACTGAAACTAAACGTCTTACAATTAACTAGGAACGAATGGAAATTCGTATGGCAATAATTTGAATCATCCGTTGATTAACATTTTATTACGTATCATTTCATTTTCTCTGTTTTGAGGACAATAAATAGATTTTTGTATTTATTCCGATCTGTAAAATAATTTCTAATTTTTTATATTCGACGAATTTTTTGTATCGCTGGAATGATTTGATACATATATAAATTAATTTACTATTTATTGCCACGTTATGAGCAATAAAGTTCTTAGTAACTTTCCACCATCGCGATAACAAAAATATTAATTTACATGTTCCTCCGTAACTGTTACAAAATAAATAATTAAAGCTTGTAGACTAGTCTTACTCGATCTTTTTCAATGCTTGAAAAAAGTTATATTATCTAATCATTGAAAAAATACATTTAATTATTGTGATAGTTTTCGTTATTTTATAGCGAGGAGAGTCCAACACTAAATCATTACGGTGATTGTAATAAATAGAAAAACGTGTTACATGTAAAAGTTATATTAAAAAATCTCACGCGTTATTGTGCACAAGCGTGCAATGTACTCTTCGGTTAAAACAGGAAGCCAACTTGCCGACGTTTGCTGAACTTTGCCGATCACGAATGACTCTTCTTTTAACCGAGAGAAATCGTTGCACGCGTTTGTACTAAGAAAATAACATTCAGCAGACTTTTGGTGTATCACCACGGATGGAGGAAAAATTGAATCAGGAACTAAAGTCTCTCCTCTTACATTTTAGTTCTTAGATCGACTATAAATCTCTGTTTTCTAGAATATAGAGAGAACCTTAATACCAAACGATAAGACACAGCACCTGGTTCGACTACGGTTGTTAAGAGTAATAGGAACTCAATACACTCGATAGTGACATTCATCGAACCTACAATTGTAAAAAAATCATAACGACATTCGTGCAACTGAGCGGCTGAACGTAAAGCTATGGATTGAGATCCCTTCTGATTTTTAAAAAATCGTTACAATTCGCCCGTAAGATTGCACACCGAGTTATGTTACAATTTAATTACAAATCTCGTAAAGCTAGAGGCATCATGTATAGTTTCAGCTGTTATAATACTTACACGGTATACGTTCACTTAATTAATAATCACAGATTCCAAAATTCTACGTAACATTACCTCTAGCGTGTCGTTCATAATCTCACGTGGATTCAACCCTCGACTCGTACGTCCAATACAATAATTAAATTCTGACCATTAGGAGATTGTAGGGTTAAACGTGTATGTAAATGAAGGTTCCGAAATGCAAGTAGTCTAAATGGTAGACTAAGTGCTAAAATTAAATTGAAATCGTCTGAAGGGTCCACGAGGGTTAAAAATCTATTTCCATATTTCACAAGGACAAACGGAATTCGGTCCCTCAAAACTCGGATCAATTTACACCCGCCAAACGTAACTTAATCTACGCAAGAGTACGAACGCCATCGATGCTCTAATTATTACGGAATGGTGCGAACGATCACAGTCTCAAATTGTCACCCCTTCTCTAAACATAACTCTCCTGCTTCTTTCTGACAATGTTTCCGCTAACGACCGCGGTCTGCAGCGGCAGTTTGATCTGTTTTTCCGCGCTCGAATTACTGCCAGTCACTTTCATGCTGCTGCTCTTGTTGCTGCTCTGCCTCCTCCAGAAGTCCGAGTGATTGCTGCTGTAGTTCGTCGAGCCGGTCGTGTAGGTACCAGTTTTATCGGCCGACGTCTTCTTCTTTTTCCTCCTGTTGGGACCCAGACCGCACAACCTGAGGAATCCTTCCCTGAACTTGGTCGACATCAGGTTGTACAGGATCGGGTTTATGGCGGAGTTCAGGTACAGCATCACTCGGCAGAAGTAGAGGAGCGTGAAGTAACCCTCGATGCCCAGATCGATGATCATGCTCTTCGGGGTCAGCAGAATCCACAGGGTTAGCGCTCTGAACGGCAACAGACACAGGAAGAAACAGAGCACCACTGTCCCCAGCATCAGCATCACCTGTTTGCGATACTTGAGCAAATTGTTCGACGACCCGCGGCTTATCGTTGGGTTCGTCATCAGGTGCCTCGCTATCACCGTGTACAGGATCACCAGGATCAACAGCGGTATCACAAAGAACACGAGTATCGTCGTCAGGATGAAACCCATTGTCCAGTACGTGTCCGCTACGGTGTTGCACGTGGAAGTGTACGTACCGTCCGCGTTCTCTTCTATGTCGTAGCTCACCATCAGCAGGATGGGACTGTAAACAGATGGTTTACGTTCATTTCTGCTTTGGTGTACATGATGGAAGGGATTTTTGGATCAAGATTTTTTGGGAAGATTGAACAGTAGGGGATTTGGAAGATTGAGATAATCATGACAAATTATTTGTGTTTTAATTTATTGCAAAGTCTACAATATCAACGAGATCAAATACAATTATAAATTCTTTAGAAGTCACTTGGACCCACTGGAAGAACATTCAGCCATATTTAGCAATGATATCATTTATCACGTCGTAGTCACACAAAATTCTCCTGTTCCGTGGAGTCAGTTTTTCTGGTCCCAATGCTCCTGTTACTTCTTTCACAAGCAGTCAGTCTGCACAGCTGCAGGAACCCTCTTCTGAACTTGCTGCTCATCAGGTTGTAAAGAATAGGATCCACTGCGCTGTGAAGGTAGAACATAATCCTGCTGAAATTCAGTACCGCGAAGAAGGTGTCGCGATCGATGGCGGCGATCTGTTCAGCGGGTGCTACGATGATGTATAAAATCAGGACCCTGTAAGGCGTCAGACACAGGAAGAAGCAGAGCACCACAGACAAGAGCAAGGTGATCACGTGTCTCTTCGCCCTGGCGTGATACGTGTCGCTGGTGTTGCTGGAGTCTGGCACCAGATGTCCTATGATGAAGGCGTAGAGGATCAGGAGGATCAGCAGCGGCGCGAGATAGAAGAAAACCACCAGAAACAAAAAGAAGACCGCGGTGCCGACGGTGTCCACGCTGGTCAGACATACTGGAACAAAGTTTCTCTGGTCCAGGTCGTTCACGCGCATCTCCTGGTACTGTGAAACCCAGATTATGGGACTGCAATCAGTTAAAGTGAAATTGTCGCGGGATTTCCAAGTCGGTGATGGATGCTGAAGGATGATTTACGCGTAAGCCGTTTTTAGCCCGTCTACCGAATAGAGATTTTCAGTTCCAAGCTGAGAGGCTGCCACCTTGTTTGAACAGTCGGCTATAGATGGATCGTCAGTTTCGGCGGTCGAGTTTAAAGCGGAGATGAAGTTCAAAGCGATCTTTGCGTCGATGGATCATGATACGTTCTTTTCTTCGGGAGGTGAACTCTTCTCGCATGTGATGAAAGAAGTCTTTGGTATCAGAGGAAGTTTTCTTCATATGTGATTTCAGGAGATTTGTTTAGTTGGGATGATGTGGAGGTTTTATTACTGAAAGTGTTATGGGGGTGTATTAACCCTTGTAGTATTTTTAAGAGCCAGACTCGTGACGCACCTAAATGCGACAGATTTTGCTTGAATGTTTAATACATTTCAATTTGAAGTTCGAGTCTAATTATAATTTGTACACTCAAAGATCATTGAATATAAAATAGTCACATTTTGATTTTCTTCAACGATTTTAATATTAGTTAATAGTTCTGACAGACGCACCAGGCAAACTAATCATACAGCAAGGAACATGTGTGTCCAAGTTAAAGTGCACATGTGTGTCCAAGTTAAAGTGCACATGTGTGTCTTTATTATACATATGAAGAGTTCTCTAAAATTTACTTAGAAGATACTTAAATCTTTCGTCCCAAAATTCCACATATTCTTACGTGAATTCCTAAATCCTAAAATCCTCATGTGACAATAAACCTATGTTCGACAGTCTATATCCCATAAGTCCCTACAGCCCTGTATATGAAACCTTGAAATCCTTATTAGATTTTACTAAGACGAAGGTGCTATTAGAATCGCTTTGGACGTCGAAAAAGCAAAGGATAGATTGCTATCACACGGTATCCTTCCCACGAAGTGAAATAGAATATCGTGTTGCACCTTTTTTCTTCGTCCAAGAAACTCGTGACACAGATCCACGAACAACTCTGATATTGAATTTCCTCCAATTCCTGATGTAACGCAATTTCAGGTAATTGTATGGGTCTGTTTGCTCTTGCCGGGGTTTTTAAAGAAAACAGGGACGGCTTAATGAACTCTTGGAGGATTCTGTCAAAACAGAATTGGATGTTCGGAGGATCTTTTGAGACTTTTTTTATAGGGTTTTTGATAGAAGATGTAATGCTTTGATAAGAAATTTATGGTTCTATCTAGGTTTTGTCAAATTGAGAATTGGATGTTCGGAGCACTTTTGAAGACTTTTTTATAGGATTTTTGATAGAAGATGTAACGCGACCTTTTATAGAAAATTTATGGTTCTATCTAGTAGAAATTCCTCGATAGAAAGTTGCAAGGGTATCGAAAGTCGAAGGAGGAATTTTTAGAAAATTCAGGAAGCTACACGTCACTGTGTCAAAGCTCCTAGTAAAATTACCTCATAGATCAGACCTTAAAGGATTCACCGAGCGATCCATCAACGGTATTGTACAGCAGAATGCTCTTGGCTCTTCCCTACTCAAATTATACTACATTCGTCTTGCTTTCGAGTTTCAATGAAAAGAAACAAGCTTGCTTATTCAGCTTTCGAAGTCGTAGTTGTTTCCTCTTCCTTTTCAGTTTCATGTCAAGAACACTCGCTGAATTTATCGTACACGCAGTTTCTCCTCTTAAACAGTTATAAAAATTTCGTATTTAAACTTCACATTGTGATACACCGTTTATAGAAAATTAGCAAAAGTAATTTGAAAAATTTTAATTATGTCGTTTAAAAATTATGTGTTTGTGAAGTGTGAGTTTGGGGGCAGTCTCGATAAAATACAGTTCAGCGAAACAACTCGAAGTTTAAGTAAAAGTTTACTGGACTGTGTGTAAACATTACGAATTCAGTAGTGCGAGTCAACGCTAACTGCGCCGCGTTCCTTGTTCCCGAAACAGCGTAGTAGTTAATTAAATAATATAACTTGTGCGTGTGTTTAACCTTCTTTATTGTGTGTTATACTCCCCTTCTCGTTTTTATATAATTTGAACTACTGCTCTTCATTTTTAAGGGGTGAAGGGTGGAGATATGAAGGATTGGAATTTTGGAAAATTGGGACTTTGGGAGGTTGGGACTCTAGGTGATTTAAACTCTGGGAGATTGGAAGACTGAGAGATTGGGACTTTGGGAGATTGGAAGACTGAGAGATTGGGACCTTGGAGAATTGGGGCTTTGAGAGATTGGAACACTTGAGTATTGGAACTCTGGGAGATTGGAACCCTCGAGTATTGGAACTCTGGGAGATTGGGACTCTAGGTGATTTAAACTCTGGGAGATTGGAAGACTCAGAGATGGGGACTCTGGGAGATTGGAAGATTGAGAGATTGGAACCTTGGAGAATTGGGGCTTTGAGAGATTGGAACACTTGAGTATTGGAACTCTGGGACATTGGAACCCTCGAGTATTGGAACTTTGGGAGATTGGAACCCTCGAGTATTGGAACTCTGAGAGATTGGAACCCTCGAGTATTGGAACTTTGGGAGATTGGAACCCTCGAGTATTGGAACTCTGGGAGATTGGAACCCTTGAGTATTGGAACTTTGGGAGTTTGGAACCCTTGAGTATTGGAACTTTGGGAGATTGGAACCCTCGAGTATTGGAGCACTGGGAGATTGGGACTCTAAGTGATTTAAACTCTGGGAGATTGGAAGACTGAGAGATTGGGACCTTGAAAAATTGGAAATTTGGGAGATTGGAATCCTAAGCTATTGGAACTTTGGAAGGTTGGGACTTTAGGTGACTTAAGCTTCAAGAGATTAGAATTTTGAGAAATCACTGATAGATGCAAGATCACCTTGCTTGCATTTTAGCAAGTTTATATCTCCTCTGTAGTTATACGACACCCGGTATACTTTCTCGGACTGTTAGAGCACCCTCCGAAGTCGTAATCTTGGATTTTCGTTGGAACGACCACGCTATCGATAGCAACAAAATACATAACCCCAATTTATATATTAAGGGATTAAAGGATCGAAAGAGGGAGCTTTAGAAAATTTTTCTGTCAATTCTTACCAAACTTCTTCAATTCAATAAATATAACTCCTAAGACGTTATACCCTTAAAAGCCCAGTGATCTACTTGTAAAAAGTATTCGAAAAGATGTTCCTCAGTCAATAATTTCTCTGACTTTTCTCCACAAGTTCACCCGAAATAAATTTTCTCTTGCTAAATTGGAATCACATTTCCCTGTGATATTTCACCCTCCGGGAACTTGTATTCCTGCTTACTATTCATAGTACTTCAAACGTTTCCGTATCATTTCCCCTTTATCTTTCGAACTTTCTGCTCCGCCTTCTGTTGTTGATTTCTGACTTATCTGTTGCGTTCGTCGTTATAACAAACTGCCATAACTTGACGTGTAATTGAAAATTGAACACTCGACTGATTCGGTCGAAGTTCATTCAGCAACGAAGGCTGCTCGATGAAGATTTTCATTTTTGGACACAGTTCGTTTTGCAGCGCAAGATTTGGATTCTTCAGATTTCTCTTTTCGCCTGTTTTCCGCCATCGTAAAGGGAGCCTCTCTTTTCTTAAGCAACCATAAATTCAGCGAGCAGGACCCGTGTCTCCTGTTCCAGAACTCACCAGCCAGTGCTGATCTACGAGAGGAAAAAGTGTAAGCGACGCGTAAAGCTTTTCCCAAGAAGTGGTTCCATGGGCAATTTACCCTTTACGACACAGGTTCAAGATTGTACACTCGGGTGCAGCGAGAGCTGCCTTTGGATAAGGACCACTGTAGAGGAAGGGATTTGTAACCATTTGTGCTCCATTCTGGTGGAGTGTACTCCTGAAACTTTACAACTCTTGTTTTTTTCCAAGCTTTCACTTTTTAAATTATTCAAGTCTTGCAGTTTTCAATTTGTCAGTTTCTTAGATTTTCATTTTATCATTCTACTTATTTTTCATTTTTTTAATTGGTCTATCGTTCACTCGTACGATCATTCATTTATTCGATTCTTATTTTCCAAGCTTACACTTTTTATTATTCAAGTCTTTCACTTTTCAATTTTTCAGTTCCTTAGATTTTCATTTTATTATTCTTCCAATTTTTCGTTTTTTAAATTGGTCTATCTTTCACTTGTACGATCATTCATTTATTCGATTCTTATTTTCCAAGCTTACACTTTTTATTATTCAAGTCTTTCACTTTTCAATTTTTCAGTTCCTTAGATTTTCATTTTATTATTCTTCCAATTTTTCATTTTTTTAATTGGTCTATCTTTCACTTGTACGATCATTCATTTATTACACTTTTTATTATT